ATTTTTCTTATATGTACCCATTTCATGTATTCACAACTATGTATACATTTATACTTATTATCTTGTAAACAATTGGCAAATCAAATAAATAAATAAATAAACTTGCAATGCATGTCCTAAAATTTACCACATTGGCTGGGAGGATAGAAGAGTAACAGGTCTATAGTGAGGTGCTGAGGAGCATTAAACACCCCTCTCCCTTTTATTTCTTAGGTTCTTTTCATTAAAAGTAAAAGAGGAAGCTAGCATGCTACAGAACCAATAAACCACCTTAACCATCATCTTTATGGCCAGGAATACTTTTCTCCCTCATGGAAGCATCTTGAACAACAAACTAAAGCAAAGCTGCCAGGGAATAAACTAGCAGCACTTTCTAACTTCAGCAACTTTAAGATAACTTTAACTTCCCAGAGTTCCCCAGCCAAGAACACGCTGCCTTGGAAATTCTGGGAATTGAACTCCATACACCTTAAAGCAGTTGAGGTTGAGAAGGAATGGATCCTGACTACAAGAACTCAGATGGCCACTAGAGAGCAGCAAAAAGTTGTCTTTGAAAATATATTTTCTTGGCTGTCATTTTAGTCTACTCTAAAGTTTTGCAGCAGAGATCTGGCAGCCCAATTTGGTATGAAATACATGCAAAAAGCCGTTCTCCATTCAGGGAAGGGATTCAAGTGCACATTTAAATGTATACAAGCAATTAATGTAAGGAGCTGCAATTCTGTGCTTCTAAAGTTGAGCATAAGTTCCCTGGAATGCTTCCGTTGTAATATTCCAGTTGAATACTTCTGATTCTTTTATTTGTAGACCAACACAGAGAAGTAGAGATCCATCCATCCAATTTATATGGCCTCCCATCTCAACAATGATTCGACAAAGTTGGATGGCAGCTCCTTTAAACTTAAGCTCTATCTTACTTAGAACAATTAATCAGTGGAACAACTTGCCTCCAGAAGTTGTAAATGCTCCAACACTGGAAGTTTTTAAGAAGAGATTGGGCAACCATTTGTCTGAAGTGGTGTAGGGTTTCCTGCCTAAGCAGGGGGTTGGACTAGGAGATCTCCAAGGTCCCTTCCAACTCTGTTATTCTATTCCAGGGGTCCCCAAACTTGGCAACTTTAAGACTTGTGGACTTCAACTCCCAGAATTCTCCATAGCTGGCTGGAGAATTCTGGGAGTTGAAGTCCACAAGTCTTAAAGTTGCCAAGTTTGGAAACTTGACTTCTCTTCTCTTCTCTTCTCTTCTCTTCATTTGTCTAAATTCATAAATTGTGGTCCAATCATAATATATTTCGGGACACTACACTGAATGGAACCAATCATTCTGGCTTAGTTTAACCCTTGTTAAACCACACTCATGTCATCCTCATTGGCTGAATGAACAGCCAACCTGCCATAATAACCCCATCCCTTCCTAAATGAAATTGATGCAACGAATTCTGAAGTGGACGAAAACAAACAAAGAAACCTTTCCCAAGGCAAACCCTCGAAACTACAACTCCCAGAGCGACTCGGGGGAAAGCGAGGCTCGGTTTCCCATCCACCCCCCCGCCGGCCCCGGGGGAGGCCAAGCCGGCGGTGCTGTCACGTGACGCCCGAGCGGGCGGCTGGTCACGTGATCCTTCGAGGATGGCGCCGGTCGGGAGGCTGCTGCTGCTTGCGGTGCTCCTGCTGCTGGGCGGGCTTGGCCGTCGGAGCTCGGGGACCGCTGCCGGTCCGGTGCCGCTGGTCATCTGGCACGGCATGGGTGAGCGAGGTTTTGCCCTGGGTGTGTGTGTGTGTGTGTGGAGGATTCAGAGGGTCTCGGGGACTTGTCCCTTCCAGTTGCAGCCGGTTTGAAGCCAGAGCGGCTTGGTTTCGCTTCTGTTTCGCAGTCAAGGCTGGGGATGATGGGGCTTGTGCGCCAACGCTTCCCTGTATCGGGGAAACCTTATTTGGTTAGCCGTAATTTTATGCATGAAATCTTAGGTCCGCCGCCTCCAGGCGGTTGACAGGAACCGGATGGCTCTCAGTTAAAACAACTTTAAAATCGAAAACCAGCCAGTAGAAACCAGTAAATCTTGTTAATCGGACCGTTTGTTGGGTCAGGCAAATCTGAACTGGACAAAACACCTCCAGGATGGAGGCACACCTGATCTGGAGGGGGGGAAGTCTCTTTGGCAATGGAGGATGACACCCCCCCCCCCCAGAGAAAGTGGGTTTTCCATCTCTGCTGATCTCTTTCAGGGGTGCCCTAGCTTCTTCCTACTGCTACAGGTAGTCCCCGACTTAACAGCAGTTTATTTAATGACCGTTCAAAGTTGCAACGGCAGTGAAAAATGTGGCTTATGGCCGTTTTTCAGAGTTACGACCTTTGCTGCGCCCTCACAATCATGTGATCAGAATTCAGGAGCTTGGCAACTGGTTCATGTTTATGATGGTTTTGCGACCTTCTGACAAGCGAAGTCAATGGGGAAGCCAGATTCAGTTAACAATCAGATGACTAACTTATCAACTGCAGTGATTCACTTAACCACTGTGGCAAGGAAGGTTGTAAAATGAGGCAAAACTCACTTAACACTTGTCTCATTTAGCAACTGAAATTTTGGCTCAATTGTGGTCGTAACTCCAGGAGATTAGAGACAAGCAGATCCTACATGGCTGGCTGGGGACTTCTGGGAGTTGAAGTCCACCCAGTTGTCAAGATTGGACATCCTTCCCAGAGTAGGGCACCCTACCCTGTCCTACACATAATCCCAGATAGTATACTGGACAGACACCCAGACATGTATTTCCTTGGGAGTGGCATTCAAGAATGATTTCAGGTTAGTCAGTTGCACTCACCCAACTTTCCTCCTGAGGTTTTGTTTGGGGCGATAAAATTGGAGGTGACTTTTAGGTTATACTCCCTTAACCTTTTTAAAGAAAGAGTTTTGCACAGTTGGTAAAATTACATTTTATTATTGTACTCATTTTCTATATTGTGATAATGTAAAGGGCACACATATGGTAACATGTTTAATCATGATTGGATTCTTTTTTTTCTTTTTCATATGCTTAGTGGAAGAATGGTGGTGCCCCTGGCAAACTTTTATTTGTAATCAGTTAATTGCTCACTGGTAGAAAATTAATTACATCAACATCCTATACATATTTATTTGGAATTAACATAAATGCCTTTGAGTTCATGGGAGTTTTTGAATTGATATGAATAGTTTCATGTGGCAAACGCTAACTTAAAATATAATATTGGTGGTATGCCCTTAATAGATTCAAATACACCAAGGTTGGAATCAAATACTAGCTCTGTTGTGAAAATGATTTACTTACAAGAGTCTCACAGAATTTAGAGGCTGAAATATGAAAGCAGCTGATGTTTCTTGCTGTAGAAATTGTCTGGCTGGTATAAAAATGAAAGCTGTGATGACTAAGGCAAGTTCCTGTTTTTAAAATAGTTCCTTTTTCCCCCCTGCAGCGGAATAGTTGATTTCTTCATCTTTGGGGGGTGGGTAAATATGCATTGAGAGTGGTTATAATTCGTAAAATGGAAGATTAGCCTTTTCTTTTAGTATACAAGTTGACTTGACTTATAACTGTAATTGAGCCAGGAATAATAGTCATGCACATTGAAGAATAATAGTTGTGCACATTCACAAATGGCCCTGAACATTAAGAAAACACAGCAGTCCTTAAGCAAACCCATTTATGCAATGGATGTTCCTTGCAGGAATGCTGGTTTCTGGCAAAACATGTCATAAATTGTGCTCATGTGACCGTAGGGCATTGCAAAGGGCACAAGAATACATGCCAGTTGCTGAACACTCAGAATGTGATCATTGTGTGTGTATGTCAGAACTTCGAATCTGGGTTGTTTGTAGCTTTTGTTGTGGCCCAACAGCTGCCAGCAGAGCTGGCAGCAGACTCAGACAATGAGGAGGTTGGGAAGGAACTTGGGCCAGTGCTGGAATCTGGGGAATGCTCTGATGGATGCTCTGCGTCGGAAGCAGAGTTAGGGCCAGGGCCGTTCGACATTTCCCAGCTGCCTAGGGTGTCGGAGATAAGTGGGGAAGAAGTACAGCTGAAGCCTGTTCCAGCATATACGCAGAACTGTCAGAAGAGAAGAACTACCGAGGAACAGGGGCTGACTCAGGAAGAAAGGCACACGGGGACGCTGAATGGCCCTTCCCTGGGGAACACATAGAAGCAAAAGGGGAGAGGTGGTTGCAGGAGACAATAGTTCGTATTTCTTTTGGAAGATTTGCTTATCGTGATTCCTGCCACAGAGTCTTCTTGGATTTGGAAGAGATTGGTATGATGAAGACTAGATCAAATTCATTGATATATAATCTTTAAAGAAACAGTACTTCAGTAGCTCATCCTCTGTTTTCATAGACTCTTGTTTTAAGATGAAATTTATTGCACATAAATACTTATAATGTATTTATAATACAGGTAGCAAGAAACCAGCTATGTTTATTCAGAACTAGCCAGGTGACAGTCTATGCTTACATTTGAACCAGCTGATTGAATTTTAGAAGAATCTGTGAGCTGAAGTATGATATGGTTTCAAAGGTCAGCTAAAGCAGTTTTTCCTTGCTAGAAAACCGGAATTATACCATTTTATGCAACATTCTAGCGCTTTTATATATATTAATAATTTAAAACACATTTTTAAACATTTGCTTATTATTTGACTAAATGCCATTAATGCTATTAATAATTAAGGAACCTAGACAAACAGCCACTCTGATTTTCTAAACTTCTCTCTTTTCTTTTTTACATTATAGGAGATAGCTGTTGCAACCCCGTAAGCATGGGATATATTAAAAAAATTGTGGAAGAGAAAATCCCAGGAATTTATGTGCTGTCTTTGAAGATAGGCAACAGTTTAATTGATGTGAGTGGATTCATACAATATGTGCTTTCAGCATACAGACATATGAATTAGATGTTTTTAGACTCTTTTCTAAAAGGAAGAGTCAAAATCTTGGATGCAGCTGGTCCACCCAGGGTGCTGTAGGGTGCTGGAACAGCCTATTTTGTACTTGAGGTGGGGTGTTTTGAAGTCAAAATAGTTTGTGCACTTCTAGTTGATTGGGTGGACCAGCTGGACCAAGAGGGAGAAGTATCCATAAACAAAGAACCTTGAAGTTTGGAAACCCGAGAGCAGGCCCACCGATTCAAGCCAAGACACACCTAATTTCTGTCATAAGATGTCAGGTACAAAGAATCAGGACTATCAGTTCGGTTGCCCTATAGAAGGTTTATTGAAGCTTATACACAAGAATCTGATCAACTAAAGTTCAACACTTACAGTAAATTCGCACCAGAGAAAGGTTAACTGAATTCAGGAAGTGTTGGCCTTGGAGTGCTTGTGGTAATACAAGGACTCTAAACTGATGACATGTTTAACTCCACCACCACCCCAGCTCCGCCTGCTCTTCTACATAAAGTAGCACACCAGATGTACTTAGGAAGCTGAGCAATATAAGACAAAGGCAGTCCTCCTATTGTTGTTCCCATGCACCAGGTGTTAGAGGTGTATTTGGAGACTGTACCTTGTCATCAAGGCTGGTAGCTCTTGATATACCTGTTCTCTAGGACTTTGGAAATCAGATCATGCCTTTCTGAACAGGTTTCCTACCTTATCCGTAAGGCCAAACTCTTGAAGTTCTCACAGCTGGCTAGCCACTCTTCATCAACCTCTCATTTTTCCTTAGGACATGGAGAACAGCTTCTTCATGAATGTCAATGATCAAGTCAAGAAAGTGTGTGACCAGCTTTCTAAAGATCCAAATCTTCAAGGTGGCTACAATGCCATGGGCTTTTCACAGGGCGGGCAGTTCTTGTAAGTATATCAAATAGGAGATAATGGAAGACCCTAGGGAATGGTGTCAATAAATGGAATGCCCTCATGTTAGTGGTAGAATTCCTAGTTGCATACCTGAAAATCTGAATTCAGTCCTTGATTTCTCCCATTAAAGAGAGGCAGATGATGAGCCAATCTCTTGGAGAGCCATCACAGCTCAGGGTAGATCTGTCTGGGATACAGTGAAAGTGCCTATCTGTTTTAAATTGACCAGTCCACTCATTAAACAAGGCCACAATGCCACCTTCACTGGTTTTGGCTTTGTGTCCTATGCAATACCAGCCATGATAGTTTCTAAAGCATGATTTATAGCTTTTAGTTTTCTGCTCATGCTGCCAATTCTGCCTTATTTTTACAAACAGGATTCACTGAACCCAGCAACAATTTATACCACCCAACCTGGGGCGATCTAGATATTCTGGAACTTCAATTCCTATCCCTGTCCCAACTTACGCAACACCAATGATTAATGCTGTACCACAAAACTTGAAATTTTAATAAGGTGGATTCTTGGTTTTGTTTCGTGGTAGAAGATGTCTTTCTGGTAGTGATCTGTTTTTTTCCCCTCCTTAGGAGAGCCGTGGTACAAAGATGTCCATCTCCACCTATGTTCAACCTGATTTCCATAGGAGGTCAACACCAAGGTAACCCTGTTTTTCAAAGATGAGCATAGTTTTAGGACATCATAAAATCTGTCCTTATAAAGAAGGCGGAATTTTACCCTTTCAAGGTCTGCTGAATGTGTCTGCTGGTTATGAAGGATCCAAGATCCAAGTTGGGAAAACCCTACAAAAACACTGAGACACTGAAAGTAGCTTTTTTTCTGGTAGAAAATCAGAACCAGGAAACCTATGAGCTGCCAGCGACCCTCTGATCAAATGCTGAAATTCAATGACAAAAGACCCATTTTCAACAGCACAATTTTCATTAGATTTGGAGCTATGGGGGTTGTCTATAGGTAGAGCAAGAAGGGCAGCACAAGACTATAAGCTGCACAACTCTCTTTCCCACTCTTTAGTTTTTAGTTTACTTTATTGTTGCACCTCGTACAACAAAATTAAATGCCATCTTCAGTGTACTTAAACCCTCATCTTCCCCAAACCTCAACATCAAGCCACAATTGTGTTTTAACACAATCTTCCTGGTATTTTTTTGTTTCTGGAAGTGCTCTGGTTGACTATTTTTTCCCTTTAACGGCACATAAAAATTTTATCTGCTACAAAGGAAGAAACTTCTCTTGAGTCAAGGGCTGCAACGATATCAAAGAAGGGGAAGAGCCAAAAATCTTTTAACACAGTTGTGGCTTGATGTTGAAGTTTGGAGAGGATGGGGGTTTAAGAGTGAGAAAGGGAGTTGTGCAGCTTACACTCTTGTGCTGCCATTTTTGCTCTACTTATACACAACCCCCGGACCTCCAGATCTACTGATAATTGTGCTGTTGAAAATGGCTACTTGTTACAATGTCAGCACTTGATCGAAGGATCTTTGATGGTTGTGTGCTGCTGCTCATAGGTTTCCTACTCTTGATATACTACCAGAAAATACCTACTTCCAGCGTCCCAGTCTTAACTGCAGGGTTTTCCCAACTTTTGAAGGCTGTGGAACTTGTTAGTTTAAAGAAAACAAAGCCCCAATCCAGAACTTGTGATCAAGAGGCAAAGCTCTGGTGATAGAAAACTGGCTGTGTTTGTGTTATCTCTGCCCCTCCCTCGTAGTCTCTATCAAACTCCCATGGGATTCAGTTGGAGAAACTCCAGTGGGTGTTAAACCTGAACTACAGGTTTACTAAGATGGGTCCTGAGGTCTTTGTCTAAACTTGCTGTTTCTGATTTAAAATTCAATTTACTGGGTTTTAATTTCTCAACATTACCTTCTGCTTCTTGACTAATACAATCTGATTTTGTTATTTTAAGTATGTTTTTTTTTAATTGAAAGATCCCAAACACTTGTTGTCTAATCACAGAACAGAATAGAATAACATAGTTGGAAAGGACCTTATAAGTCATCTAGTCCAACCCCCAACCAGTAATTCTGATAAAGAATTACAGACAGAGAATACTTGGAATTAATTCCCTTAACAGCATGAATTACATTTTTCCCGTCTATGGAATTTCATTTCCAAGTTCCTGTGTGTTTGGACCAGAGTTAGGCAACACATGACTCTGAATTAATTTTTTTATTAACCCCTACCTCCTGATATTATGTTGCTGATGTTTGGTGGCAAACCAATGATGAACTCTGAGAGCACAATTTTCTGCACAATTTCAATAGGAAAGAATAGAAAAATGTGTTGGGCAAAGCATTGGATAGACTACATATACCTAGAAAAATGGGGATTGCATCAACCCATTCTTTGCTAACTTTGCCTTTGTTTTGCTGCTGGGGTGATGTTAACATATAACAGATTGCTTAACAGATAATCAGAGTTGGAAGGGACCTTGTAGGTCATCTAGTCCAACCCCCTGCCCAAGCAAGAGACCCTACACCATTTCTGACAAATGGCAGTCCAGTCTCTTCCTGAAAGACTCAAGTGATGAAGCTCCCACAACTTCCGAGGGCAACTTCTGTTCCATTGGTTGATTGTTCTCACTGTCAGAAAGTTTCTCCTTATTTCCAGGTTGAATCTCTCCTTGTTCAGTTTCCATCCATTCCATTCCTTGTCTGGCCTTCGGGTGCTTTGGAGAATAGCTTGACCCCTTCCTCTTCTCTGTGGCAGCCCTTCAAATATTGGAAGACTGCTGTCATGTCTCCCCTGGTCCTTCTCTTCCCTAGACTAGCCAGGCCCAGTTCCTGTATCCGTTCTTCATATGTTTTAGTCACCAGTCCCCTAATCATCCTGGTTGCTCTTCTCTGTACAAAATGTACCACCCTGATCCCAGAGAAGTGTCCACACAGTATTGAATCATGTGCACCCTGTTTTGAAGACTTTAGATATCCTACAACTAATAAAGATTTCTGTTTAAAGTAGGGGACTTGCTAGATAAGTAACTGTTTCCTCACCTCCACCGCTCAACTTTTCAGCCATTGACATGCCAAAAAATACAAGTAGTCCTCGAGTTATGACCACAATTGAGCCCAAAATTTCCATTGCTAAGCAAGACATTTGTTAAGTGAATTTTTCCCCATTTTGCAACTTTCTTGCCGCAATTGTTAAGTGAATCACTGAAGTTGTTATGTCAGTAACACGGTTGTTAAATAAATCTGGCTTCTCTGCTTGTCAGAAGGTTGCAAAAGACTCCGCAACCGTCATAAATACGAGCCAATGGCCAAACATCCGAATTTTGATCACATGAACCAAGAGAATGCTGCAATAATCGTAAATGTGAAAAATGATTATAAGTCACTTATTCCAGTGCCGTTGTAACTTTGAAACGAAAGGTTGTCTATGGAGATTTTCAATCATCCAAGTCATGGTTGTCCCAAAGGTGTTTTTTCCCCAAAAGCAACTGGACAGACTTGTGTTTTTTTTTTTTTTTCCCTTTGAAAACATTTCTCTTCTCATCCAAGAAGCTTCTTCCTAGTTTCCATATTCAGGTTTCAGAACCCTTTAGGATAAACGAATGGTTGTAAGTCAAGGATTACCTGTATGCATTAGTGTCAGGGGAGCGGGGGGGGGGGGGGCAGAATTTTTCTGGCCTTGTTTGACAAGCTAGGACCATGTGCAGTTCCTCAATGACACCCTCCCTCCTGCAGGTGTTTTCGGTTTCCCCCACTGCCCTGGGGAGAGCTCGCATATCTGTGACTGGTTGAGAAAAATGCTGGATATTGCTTACGCAGATGCAATTCAGCGGCGGTGAGTTTGGCTTTTTTAGGAGACAGACAGACAAAGTCATACATACACACACACACACATGCGCATACATATATGGATAGATGCAGTGATGGGATCCATTTTTTTTTAACTACCGGTTCTGTGGGCGTGGCCAGGTGGGTGTGGCCATGTGATTGGGTGGGTGTGGCTTCCCTTTTTTTTGCAGCCACCCCCCCCCACCTGTTTTTTGGGCCTTCTGGGCCTCAGGCAAGCCTCCTGGGGGGGCGTTTTTGCTCCCAGAAGGCTCCCCTGGGGCTCAGGAAGGCAAAAAATGGAGGGGGGGGGGCTGCAAGGGGAATCCCAGCACAGCTGATCGTATGAACAGCTGATTGTCGAGAGGGGAGAAAATACTTTAAGGGGTGAGCGACAAGCGGGTGGGGGTGAGCAAGCATCAGGCAGGCGGGGCAAGCGAGCCAGTGGCGACCGGGTTGGAGGCGTGGCCAGCCAAAGCTTACTAACGGTTCGGCAACCCATGCCAAATCCTTGCTACCGGTTTGCGCAAACCGGTGTGAACCAGCTGAATACCATCACTGGATGGATGGATGGATGGATGGATGGATGGATGGATGGATAGATAGATAGATAGATAGATAGATAGATAGATGGATGGATGGATGGATGGATGGATGGATGGATGGATGGATGGATGGTATATTGGGGGTGCCCCAATATATACTGGGGGAGAAATGCCTGGGTAGAATGGGAAAAACTCAAAAGCTCTTTTATGATTTGCGGTTTGACCTGTTCTCTCTCTCTGCCACAGCCTAGTCCAGGCACAATACTGGCACGATCCGGTGAATGAGAAGCAATACCGCAGAAGCAGTCTCTTCTTGGCGGACATCAACCAGGAGCGGGTAGGCCAAACCCAACTCTCTAATCAATGCAAAAACAGGCCAGGCTACTCTGATTTGCATGTTACATTATGTTGAAGTGCTTCTTTGCTAGAAAACGAGCCGCAGGGTTTACAATTTGTAATTTGCTGCCTCAACTCACCTTTGACGAGATGGGTGGCATATAAGTTGAATAATTAAAATAAATGAATGACTGGGAATGAATCAACAAACCACAGCTTAGTAGAGGTGCAAACTCAGGGATCCTAAACCAGTATATCTGAATGTTCGCAACTTCAAGATATGTGGACTTTAATGCCCAGAATTTCCACAAAACAGGCAGTCCTCAATTTACAACTACAACTGAGCCCAAAATTTATGTTGCTAAGTGAGAAATTTGCTAAGTGAGTTTTGTCCCATTTAGTTTTTCATAAGTGTGAAAAACTGCCATAAGTCACTTTTTCAGTGCTGTTGTAATTTCAAATGGTCACTAAGTGAATTGTTGTAAGTGGAGAACTATCTGTATCTTAAAAGTTGTCCAGGTTGAGAAACACGGCTCTAAACTATGGGACATCTGCCTGAAAAAGAATGAGTTTTGAAGCATTTGAAAGAAAATTCAGTTAGCAAAACCAGAATTGGTTCTACACTTTAATCCTAGGACATTGTAGACAAAATACACAGCAGCTTTAGAGAAACGAAGCAGGTCTGGGTGTGTTCGGTGCCTTAGAAATCCCCTTTATACCGCATTGTTCTGACAACTTTCTATTGTGTTACATTTTTTTACTAAAAGTCTTTTTGGAATCTTTGAGGAAGAAATATGTCAATCTATCCTTCCCCGTTTATATATATCCGGTATTAAACAGTAACAGTAGCAGCAAGATACTGTTGTAAAGTAGAATCTGATGTTTTCTGCCACTAACACTGTTCTGCAATTTATCTTTCCCTACCTGTTCTTCCAGGTCATCAATGAGACTTACAAGAAAAACCTGATGACTCTGAAGAAGTTTGTGATGGTGCGGTTCCTCAATGACACAATGGTAGATCCCCCGGCCTCCGAGGTGAGCAGCTCAGAAAAGTGCAGTGCTACAAAAGATGTGCCCACCTGAAAAATCAAAGTGGGATTTAGCTTTTGTGTGCTGCCCAAAGGCAGTTCTTAATCCACAAAAAAAAAAAAAAACCTCCAGGTAGTCCTCAAATTATGAACCACAATTTGGACCAGAATTTCCAGTTAATCAAGGTGATTGTTAAACTGAGTCGCAACTGATTTTATTTATTTATTTATTGGATGTATATTGCCGCTTATGCACCCACGGTGACTCAAGGCAGCTTACAGAATATAAAGCCTCATTTAAAACAATAAAACTAATTTTAAAAATCAAATAAATATAATAAAATCACCCCCCCTTGCCCCAACGACAGCAGATCACACGAGCCATCTGATGGGCTCCATCCCACTCTGGGTTCCCCAGGCCCGCTGGCAGAACCAGGTCTTCAGTGCCTCCCAGAAGAGTATTAGAGGGGGGGCAATTCTAATCTCTGGGGGAATGATGTTCCAGAGAGAGGGAACCACCACAGAGAAGGCCCTTCTTCTGGGTCCCATCAGGTGTATCTCCCTCAGGGGTGGGACCCACAGCATTCCCTGCCTCCTCGCTCTAATGGGTCGGGTAGATGTGACCAGCAGGAGACGCTCCCTCAGATAACCCGGTCACAAGCCATGAAGGGCTTTAAAGGTGACAACCAGCAGTTTATGACCTTTTGTGCCATGATTGTGAAGCGAATCATTCCAGTTGCTAAGTAAATTACTTGGATCCAGCTTCCCCCTTGACTTCACTTGTTTGACTTCGCTTGTTGGAAGCCGGCTGGGAAGGTGGCAAATGGTGATCACTGACCCTGGGAAGCTGCAACCATCATAAATACATGCCGGTTGTCAAGTGTCCAAATTTTGATATTGGTGACTATGGGGATGCTGTGATGGTTATTAAGGGTAAAGACCAGTCATGTGTCACTTTTCTCAGTGGCGTAACTTTGAACGAATGAATGGTTAGAACTCAAGGACCACCTGTCCCGATGTGATGACCCGGGGTGTGGCACAAAGACAACACAGTCACATCAGTAAGAAGAGTCCCTTTAATATCTCCAACTCTGCCCCCAATGTCCAGTTACCTTTGGCTGGAGAAAAAACTCTCCCAAGAACAGTCTTTAAGTGGAGGAAATTCAGTCCGAAAACAAAGTACATACAAACTGTAAATAAAAATCCACACAAACCGCGCTGCAGCAATTAACTGGACAGGGAAGGATAAGGAATTGCAGACTTCAAAGGCCAACAAGCAGTTGGGTAACTCACGATTTGCTTCCCACATGTTGCTGTGCACAAACTCCCTTTTTAAACACTGTGTTCCCAGCTGCAGCTAATGAAAGGAATCAAGGCCCTTTCCTCCCCCGCAAACCACACAACTCACGTTGCTCCCTTCTCCGTTCCTCCCTGCGTGCCCTAGGATGAAGAGGGGGTGGGCCTGGGTCTTCCTCTGAATTCCCTCTGCCTTGCTCTACCTCTGCCTTGCTCTGCCCAGCCAGACTGTGCCCTTCCCCAGTGTCTTCCACAGCCAATGTTCAGCTGCTCGGCCTCTCCCACGGAATCAGATTCTGACAGGGGCATGACACCCACTTTTGAGTACAGCATCCTCAAACGTGGTATTCTTGGCAGGTCTCCCCTTTTGGGGTGTAGGGGATTGATCGCTTTTCTCCCTGTCCCATTTTTGAGAATCCAGCTCCAATCACTAGAAGTCCTCATTAGGATAAGAAGCCTAAGAAGTTGGCTCTTAGCTTCTTTCCAGGGATCGATCCCCACAATAAAGAAGAAGCTTCTTGGATGAGAAGCAAAACATCTTCAAAGGAAAACCAGAAAGTCCAGTTGCCTCTTGAAAACAAAACACCTTTGGGATCACAATAAATTTTAATGCCGCCTTGTTCTCTTTCCTTCCAAGTGGTTTGGTTACTACCGGAGCGGCCAGACTAAGGAGACCATTCCTCTTCAAGAGACGACACTCTACACGGAGGTGATTACCTTGAGTGCTGCTCTCTTTCCTTTGAATTACTGAAAACTCAACTTAGTTTGAAACAAACTTCCCATCTGACATTGCAGCCAGCGTGATGGTAATAGGCATAATTTCTCTGTTCAGGCAACTGCATCAGAGGGAGGTCTATATAAATATGACCTCAAAAATTGCTTCCAGGATTGGAAACCATCAGGCAGAAGCACCTCTAGAGCCGAGGTCCCCAACCCTCAATCTGTGGGGTGGCACTGGGCACACAGCATGCCCAAAACTGGGTCACGCAAACAAGCGAAGCCCCATCCATGGGATTCAGGCAGCATGCGAAACCACGTATCCTCGGGTCCACGGAAAAACCCCTCTCCACAGAACTGATCCCTGGTGGCCAAAAGGTTGGGGGGTCACTGCTCTAGAACTGTGGCTACCTAACAAACTAGGTCAAGGGAGGACTGCGGCTATATCCGTGTGCTATAAAAATGGTTATTTCCAACTCTGGTTTGGATTGGCTACCCGAGGTTTGCTTATTGCCTTAAGTTTTTGTCTACTTCCCAGTCTAATTTATAGCTCTGAGCCCCATTCCCTCCATTTAAGTAGTAAAGAAGACTTAACACAGCTCAGCTATTTAACATTGGCTAGATGATGCCACCTGCCAAACCTTCCAGCTGTACAGAGCGAAACTCTAGAAAGCGTGAACCGATGAATTACTCAATTAAGCCAGATGTCTTCCTTACACCCTAAATGTTATGGTGGAATGTGGCTGGCTGGGTTACGGCGTGCACGTTGCCGTTGTCTCTTCGTTTCTGACTCAATGTTTAACTGGCCTGTTCCCTTTTTGCAGGATCGTTTGGGCCTGAAGGAAATGGACCAAGCAGGGAAGCTGGTGTTCCTTCAGGCAGAAGGAGACCACCTCCGCTTTTCCGAAGAGTGGTTCTTCAAGAACATAGTGCCATTTCTGCAGTGATGCCGATGAGCCAGGCTGTTCTAGCGTAGGGTTTGGTAGCTGGAGGTATTTTCATAGCAAGGTGGGATACGTTTCACAGAGGGCTATCTTGAAAGACAAGCTGTTTGTACTAACCTGCTAGGCTACTGTTCCGTTTCAGGATTAACAGTTTAGTCACGTTCAACTGCAAGTATTTAAAACTTTTTCAAAACCCAACCTGGCCTCGTCTCCAGGACTTGCCTGCTGCAGATGAGCCTGTTACCATTGTTTGGGGAGTGTGTGGATACCATTCCTCACCGTGTAAAATTTCCACATCAGGTGGGTGCGATACAAGTCACATTTGACAGAGGGACCACTTCTGTGATTTTGTTAAAGTGTCAGTCTAAAATTCAAAAGCCCTGTAAATGCCATTGTGTAAGTTGCTCTGAATGGAGATATTGAATAGGTTTAGTAGGGCTGCATTCTGAATGAGGCATGGAGGGGTGAGGTGTTTCCGCAGCTGAGATTTTTGTCTGGAAACTGTGAGCTTTCATGGGTAGAAGGCATCACTGTCAATGCTGGAAGGAAGTCTGATAGAAAAGCCATTGATTAGATTTCCCAAAACAGGGGGCACAGGATTTAAAATATGCTGAAATCATGTTAATTCATACTTTCTTTGGATTACAAGAGTATTATTTTGGAACTTGACACAGTCTAATAAAACCAGGTTTAATTTAAATCGCATTGGTGGTTAACTTCAGGGCTAAAGTGACTTACCAACACATCATCTGTAGATAATTATACTTGACTGGACAATTGTACTTTCTGTAATTCCATAGAGCATCACATCATAAGCTAAGCGGGCTTAAATGTGTTGGGAGCCTAACCCAACGCTTCTCAACCTTGAAGATATGGGGACTTCAACTCCCAGAATTCCTCAGCCAGTATTGGGCTGAGCCAACCCTAAGTAAGCTACAGATTCATCCAGGCAGTATATTTTAAAAGCACTCCAAGGCAGAGATTATTTAAGCAGGAGATAACAAGCATTCTGGTGAGAATTATAGAAAACCAACAATGGAACATGAACGATCAACTCTAGAGACACTTGTGTTGAGCTTAGTAAGGATCACACTTTATGAGCAACTTGGCATTAACTTTATTCTATCTTCAGTATAATTTTAAGTACATAAGAAAGTTTTTTATTTATTTATTTCACAAGCCTCAGGAGAGAAGTAAGAGTCACAGGACAGTTTCAAAATAAGAGTTGTATATCTTCTGTTAAGTTTTCAAATGGAAAACTCAAAAATGTGGCAAAAGGAGTAGGGGGGGGAAGAGGCAATTTGCATTACTACAGTTAGACAGGCAGCTCCCTGTGGTGGGTCATTTCAGTACCATGCCTTCAACCTGGTCACGATCACCAGAGTGCTGTGTGACACGAAACTCTCTGCAGAGAGGCAGCAGGGAGAGAGAGAGAGCTAGCTAGCTAAAGAGAGAGGGGGGGTTCTAGTGCTATGGGGCTAGTAAATGTTAGTGAGCAATGGAACCAACACACCATGGAATTGTGCTTACAAACAATTAAACACTTCTCTTGGAATGGAGATTTAATTCTGCCCTGGCCGGAGGGAAAACAACCTGATACAGATTCTGAGAAAAACTGTCCTGGAAGACTGAACACTGTTGTTCAGAAGAGGCCTCTTGGGTACAATTTTCCCTTTGTAGGAGGAGGGCTTGAATGGAAGGGGTCGAGGGGCAGCTTTCGAACTGCTGGACAGGTGCCCAGGAAGGAGAATTTGTTCCAATCTTGTGGCACCTGAACCCAGGGCAGTTTTCCCCTTCCATCGTGGCACAACACAGAATTTACACGGACAACACAGGAAGGGGGCAAACGGGGGAGAAGGAATGTTACACATCCCATTTTTCAGCCTTTGGTCCAGCAAAGCTATTCTCAGCATCTCTTGGCGAGATTAGTTGAACAGAAATAATTCCCTTGGATTCCCCCAATTTATGCCTGTCAAGCATACTTCACAAACATCTATTAAGGGTGGTGGGTGGGTACCATGTCCTGAAAGAAACTTTACCCCCTCCCTCAACGTTCCTCATTTAAGTGACACTCCTTGGTGCCTGCCTGCTTGACACCTACATCGATTCGACAAGGATGGGGTGTTGCCTGACCAAGGGGGGGGAGGGAGTGAATGCCACACCTTCCTGCCAGTCAAGGGAGAGAATGGAATGAACCTGCCACCCTACCCCCCGAATCCCAGCCTGAGGTATTTTTCAGTGAGGGGAGGGGGGCAGGACTTTCAGAAGACAGAAGCAGACTGAGAGTTGGGGGGGAAAAAAAGGGACAAGGAATCTAAAAGCCGGTCCCCAGAAAGCATTTTTTTTTTGTCCTGCAGTGATGGTAGAGGAAGGGGAGGTCGTGAAGCGCCAGGCCATCTTTATCCGGCGATTTCCGTCACCGTGGTGACCAACTTCTGCCCGTTCCACTGCGTCTTGAATTGTTCGGGGACAGGAAATTCGTTCTGGGGAAACAAAACACATAAGCCACTGATTGGGGTGTAGAAGATAGACAACCGGGGTGCTGAGGACACCTCCGCCTCTGGGCATAGGTCCCATTGGGCGGCACCTTTCCTAATTTTATAGATAATTTGGTAATTCATCCAATTTATATGCCGTTTCCCATAGGTGATGAGCAGCTGGGCAACGTGATATTTGAGGGAAGCCCCAAAACACTAATTTTCTTCCTTCAACAGCAGTATTTGATGACGTAGTGTGACAGAAGGCAATGTTTTCTCCAGCTATCAATGGTATTAATTGCAGATCAATGAGGACCATAAAGCTGCAAAGAAACTTATTGACACAGTATCTTCTACATCCCAAAGTATAGGCAGTCCCCAGATAAGTGAGTTCTGTTCCTATCTCTGCCTTTAATTTGAATTTGTCAGAAGTCACAGACTATAACATCCAGCCACTTGAAGGTAAAATGAGTGCAAACCCCACTAGAACTGATGAAGTTATGTAGCTTGGTAATGAAACGACTGCAAGAAACCTAGGCTCAGAAAGAATCAAGGACCTCTTATTTTAACCTTGAGCTACAAACATTCTCCTCTATTGGAACACATACTTACAAACAGATTGCCTATTACCAGAAATGGTGGGTGGCATTCTCTTTCCTTGAGTTGACAAACTGCTGAAGCCACACAGTGTTTCCATAAACCACTGAAAAGAGGCAACTTAGTTCATCAGTCTGAGGAAGGACAATGTCACCCGCCATTTTTGGTAATAAAAGCCTATCATAGTTACAGGTTGTCCGTTAAACCAGATGTTCTTAACTCAGGGACTTCCTATCTCTTTCAAGAACTGGATTTGAATACGCCTCATGCTAGCTTTCCTCAATCAGACACATTCCGGTTGTGCCATTTCTGGTTGGAAATTCTTGAACTTAACAGCCCCGCTCATTCTGAGGATGGTTACCCCCAAGTTTAAAGTTTTGGCTTCTTTAATTTCCATCTCCTTGGCTAGGTTCATGCAGTAGGTCAGTTATTAACTTAGCAGAAGTGTTTGCATGACATGCTCACTTCGCATTATTTTTGGCAGCTGCTGCATGAACCTAAATCCGTAAGCTAACTTTAGCTAGTTTTATGTTTCACTGTTTGCAGATTCAGAAACTGGATTAACTAACCAGGTGTAGTATGCTGTGTGACTATAGCTAGGGCATTGACCTTTGCCAGTGAAAAACCTGCTTCTCCTGTTAAAGAACCAAGAACATCTGCTCAGGAATGCAATTCTCTGAAACCATTATCTGCTTCAGCAAGAGAGGAATGTTTCTATTATGAATGAAGATAGTCCTCGATATACAATTGTTCGCTTAGTGACCATTCAAATTTACAGCCTACTTGAAAAGGGGAAGTTCTGAAGTTCCAACAGCCACTACTCCACCCCCCGCCAGCCACGTGATCAAATTTCAAAATGGCTGCCTTTATTGCCATCTGCAGCATCGTGCAGTCACCCGATCACATTTTACACTGGTTAAACCTAACAACAGGTTACTTCTAGCAAACGATGGGTTTGCTTTACGACTGCCGCAAAGAAGGTTGCAAAATCAGGTCACAACATACGACCCTAATTGGCAGGCTCCATTACAGCCGTATGTCGAGGACTATCTTTATCCCCCCCCCCCTTTTTCAGCCTTAATGAACACCCCCTTCAGAGCAATATGGAAAAGAACTCACAAAGTCACCACTGTCCGTAGGAACAAGAACGTTCATCTCCGAGGACTTGGCACTAACAATCTCACAGTCTAGAGAGCCCTTGCTCAAGTAGACCTGACAACCGTCTGTCTTGTTGATAGAAATGGTTGGCACTTTACCCATTACCTAGTGGGGAAAAAAAAAAGACCATGGTGAGAGACAGCCAAGGGCTCCATCTCTTACAGTTGAGACTGGGCAAGATTCTTTTCTTCTTCTTCTATGGAAATCACATTTCCCTCATGGTGCATTTAGAAGCTGAAAGGTAGACAGGAGTAGAGCAACCAGGAGGAACAAGTTCAAAGCCAGAAATCGAAATCCATTATTAGTCTCTCCTTCTGAACCTCTTTTTTACACTTTCCCAAGAAGGGACATACGGATTTCCTAAAACTAAGAAGGCTCCAGGTGGACTCAGTCTTCCATCCTTCCAAGGTGGATAAAATGAGGACCCAGATTGTTGGGGGCAAGAGGCTGACTCTGTAAAACGCTTAGAGAGGGCTGGAAAGCACTCTAAAGCGGTATATAAGTTTAAGTGCTATTGCTATTCCTCAAAAAGGGACACATGGACTCCTAAAACCAAGAACGGACATGGGATTCCTAAAGGACTGCAGAAATTTGGCTAAGGGTCACAGCTTTACTACCCCTTCCCTAAATGTAAGATAGAAATGAAGGGCGGGAAGGTGAGCTACTGCATTTTCGTCTCCAACACTGGCAACTGTTTTGAGATGTTGGGTGGGAGGAAGTTACTGTCAAGATGAGACGAGCCAGGGACGTTACCTGGATTTGAATATCACGGCTGTTGATGATCTCAACAATGCCCACTACATCATCAAATACCAGCGCAAGCTTCTTACAGTTATCTGCAAGAGAGAAAGAGAAAGAGAAAAATGAGATTAGCATGGAGTGTTTCCTTTAAGAAGATAAACCTCAACATAGCTACGATCTATCGTTCGTTCACTGGTCCTGGGCGATCCAATATAAAAACTCACCCCCCCCCCCCCCCCCCACTATCAAATGCAAGAAAACCAAAAATACCACCATCACCACACTGCTGAGCACACATGCATTTGAGGTTTGAGTAAGGAAGTCTCCCTAGAATCAAACTCAACTACTGACTTCATGAACAGCAACTTGTAGTTTTCCAGTCAGCAGCATGGAATTCCTTTCTTTCAGAGTACTTCTGCCTTCCCAGTCTAGCCTAAAATGTCAGGGTTTCCTGCAGGTCTGAAATCATCTAAATCAGGGGTGTCCAACCTTGGTGGCTAGAAAATTCTGGGAGTTGAAGTCCACAGGTTTTTAAGTTGCTACGGTTGGACATCCTTGATATAAATGCTGCCTTCTAGATGTCTCTTATAAAATCAGGAGTTAATTTCATCACAGAAGCAT